CAGCCTTTGTACGGCTGTGCTGCCATCCCAGGGGGTCACAGAGCGTGTCTGCCTCGGGCAGCGTCTCCCTGCTTGGCTGCACCGGTGGGAGGCAGTTCGTGCAGACCCCTCCCAGCCTTAACACAGTCACTGGGAGCTGACCCAAAGCTGGCCGGCACTCTGGTTTCACCCTGCACACCCCCTTCTCCACAGCTCCACACAACAGTCCCCCTGATAATCCTCCCCCGTCACACCCATCCCCACAACAGTTGCGTTATTGAAGGCCACGCTGATTACAGCACAGCAGAGACACTGTAAGAGATGCAATGAGCCTGGCACAACCCCCTTCAGAAAACCGACGCGGCCCTTTTATTCCATTTATTTTGCATCATTCTTTCCCTTAGAAATGCAGTCCAAAGCCCTGTCGAGGGCAGGGGCCAGGGGTTGCCCAGACCCCTTTGTGCTCTCTGGTAAGAGGCAGATTGAAAAGGTTTTTGTTTCCACTGTCAGCCTTCCCCACACTGTCGCTGAAGAGCCCTGCTCTCGCCTGGCCCTTGAGCTCTGCACAGAGCCTGGTGTAGCCCCGCGCTGGCCCCCATCCCCTCCCTGCTCTAGGCCAGCAAGTGCTGAGACAAGGCATCAGGCCTGCCCCTGGCAGAGGCAGCACTGCTGCTGCCCCTCGTGCTGGCCTCAGGGCAGCCCCAGGAGCGAGACCCCAAGAAAGCTCCAGCCTCAGGGGGAAAGAGAGGGAAGCAGTTCGCAAATGAGGGAAGAATCAAGGTCTACAAGTTCTCAGGCAAAAGGTTCAAAGACATCCCTCAAGGTACTGAGGTGGCATGGTGTGTGTTAGTGTCCCTGCAGCTTGCTGGTGCCTGTCCTGCCTCCTGCAGGGGAGGTGGCTCCTCTTAACCCCGTCCTGTATCTGGTCCCTGAGCCTGGTCCCATTTTCCGTTGGCAGACAAAGGTGTATTAGATCCAGCCAGGAGCTTGGAGACTGGAGCTACTGAGTGTGGCTTATCTCTGTGGCTGTAGGATCCACCTGATGGCTGGGCGGGTCCCCCTGGGCACAGACCGTGCAGCAGTGGCAAGTGAGATGGAAACCACCTTCATTGAGAATCTCAGATACGCTGCTGACCTCCTGGCCCAGGTAAGTGGGGAATGGGTCCTGCTCCATGGGTGCAGCTCATAGGGTACCGAGGATGGAGAATCCCCGCCCCCAGCCTGGCATGGGGAAGGAGCGCTCCCTGCTGTAGAGGTGACAGGACGCTCTGTGTGGTGACATTACTGTGTTACAGGAAGACATGACTGGACTAGTGGAGCCTATTAACAACCGCATCACTGACCCTCGCTACTTTCTGAACACCCCGCACCAAGGTAAGGCAGACATCTCTCGCCAAAGTCTCCTTCAAGGGAGGAGAAGGATCCCCAGTGTCTGAAAGGCAGGAGGTTGCCTCACTTGCAGGGAGATGCCGAGGGAGCACAGCTGATGAACGGAGCTCTCAGGGCTTCACCATGAAGCTTCTAGCCTGGGGGTGATGGTCTCCCATTTCTTGCCCCCTTAGCTGCTGCCATCCTGGAGAAGGTGGGACGGCCCAACCTGAAGCTGCAGCTGGTGAGTCAGCATTGAAGATCTCCAGGGTCCACCCTCCACCAGGGAACCTTACACAGGCCCACGGGGGAGTCTCAGGGGACTCCTGGGAACGTGGGGAGGGACAGGGACCATAGCACAGCCATCCTTGACTGCTCACTGCTGGACAGCTGCACCACCCATCTCCTCTCTCTCCCCCAGGACCTCTTTCACTGCCAGATTATGGATGGAAATTTGTCACACAACCTGGAGACATACTTCCCGCTCATTGGTAACGCCCTGCACCCAAACTGGCTCCCCTGGGGCCGTGGGGCAGGAATGGCTTTGAGACAGGGCCTTACTGTGCCATGCTCTGCTGTGGCTGGCTGGAGGTGTGGGGCTGCTCTTGGGTCACCTTGGCCCGTGCCTAGGGAAGGCTGCAGACAGGGCTGCCTTGGGCAGGGCTTTTCCCGTTCCCTCCGTAGGTCATATCCAGATCGCACAGGTGCCAGGGCGGCATGAGCCTGACAGCTCTGGGGAGCTGAACTTCCCCTACATCTTCGAGCTCCTGGAGTCCCTTGGCTACACTGGCTACGTGGGCTGCGAGTACGCTCCAAAAAGTGAGTGGACCAGTGGGCTGTGAGTATGCTCCGAAAAGTGAGTGGGACAGTGGGCTGTGCGTGGTCCGAGCCCCACTGGCAGGTCCCAGCAATCACCAGTTGGCTGGGGACTGTGCAAAGGCCAGTGTGTCCTGCGGGGGGGCAGGCAGTGGGCATCGGGGTCCCTACCTGGGGATGAGAGCCCTGCCCAGAAGAGCAGCTGCTCCAGTGTGCCTGGGGTGCCAGCAGGAGACCTTGTCTGTCACTGCAGAAGACACGCTGGAAGGTCTGGGCTGGCTGCGCTCATACTGGGAGAGCCGAGGCCTGCAGCATGGTGGGACCAGCAAGGCAGCAGAGTAAAACAAGGAAAACACTGGAATAAAAGTTAAAGCAGTGGCTTAGCAGAGGACCATGTCTGTCTTCTCTATGACTGGGGGCAAAGTTAGGAGCATCTATGTCATGTTTCCCTTCCCCAGGCCCTGCTGGGCCAGGCCAAGCAGTTGGACCCTCATTCACTCAAGCACCATCTGCAGCACGTCATACTTGGGGATGGCTTGGGCACCACTGTATGTGACTTGAGGCACACAGGAGCGCCTCCAGTCTGCAGGGGCGTCCAGGGAGAGGTTTCCAATCCCCCCTGCTGAGGGAAGCTTTCACTCCTTGGAAAGGGTGCAAGTTTTCCCAGTCCAGCTCCAGCTGGTGACTGCAGTTGTGTGAAGAGGGCTCTGGGCTTCCAAGTCCTGCAGTTCTCAAGGCTGCTGCCCGTCCCCAGCACTGACCCTGCAACAGGTGGGGAAAGCAAAGCAACCAGATCCCCGCACAGGCTGCCTGAGCCAAGGGAACAGCCTGGGGGGTGCCTGCCCACAGACACTTGGGGCTGCCTTCCCTGCTGCTCCTGCTCTGTAGTAAGTATGAGACTCCAGTGCCCGGCAGCCGGGGCTGCCTCTGCATCCCCTACGGGAGGCTTTCCACATCCTAGCCTATGGCACCTGAGTGGGGATCTCGTTCAGTTTATTTCACAGATACATCAATGGCTCTCATATACATCTCCATAAAACCTTCCCCTGGTCCAGTTCACCCTTTTTGTCCCGTTTGGTGCTCTCCTGATGAAAGCAAAGGGCCAGAAGCGGGCAGCCACCCTGCCCAGAGCCCTGACGTGCACGAGTCTTTCTGCCTAAAGCCAGAGCACTGTGCGGTGCTGCCCTGTGCAGAGGACATGCTCTGTGTGCTCCTCTCAGGCAGCCGCCCTGCCCAGAGCCCTGACATGCAGGAGTCTTTCTGCCTAAAGCCAGAGCGCTGTGCGGTGCTGCCCTGTGCAGAGGACGTGCTCTGTGTGCTCCTCCGTGCCTTCCTGGCAGGCAGCACTCACCTGCAGATGCCAAAGCCATGTCCCCGAGAGTCGCTCTGCTTCAGCCAAGCCACAGCAGCCAAGCTCCTGCCCTTACGGTTCGGTTCAAGGTCGTTCAGTGTCAAACCCACAGCAGCACACTGAGGGCCACACCAGCCAGCCAGTGAGCGATGGCAGTGCACATCCCCAGGCTCCTCAGTCCAGCACCCATGCGTGCTGCTAGCAGCGCTGCCTGGGGTGCCAGAGCACACATCTCTCCCAGAGGCCTGTTCTTCCCCATCGTCACCCACGGCACAGCTGTGCTGAGAGGTCCGGTACACGTGTTGCTTGAGGATGTGGGTGCCAGTGCTAGAGCAGGCCTGTCCAGAGGTTGAAGCAGGCAGTGTTGATGACTGACTCCAGGTGGTGGTATGTGGACACAAGCTGTGGCAGAGGGCTCTCGCTGTTCTGGGGCTGCACTGGGAACGGCTCCCGGAAAACCACGGTGAGGCTCTGCTGAAACGGAGGAGCGGGTCAGGGGACGGGATGCAGACAAGCACTGTGCAGTTCCCAGCCCAGGTGTGTGGACACTTGCTTGGCTGTGTCAGGCAGAAATTGGGAGAAGTCCCAGAATGCCAACAGCACTAAGCTGTTTGAGCATGTTTGAGCTTCCTCCCAGTTTTCCTGGTGGAAATGAGGCGCAAGGACTGGCCCACTCCCTCTATCCCAGCCCCCATCCATCTGCAGTTACATCAACCCCAGCAGCAGCTTCAGGAGAGAAGGGGATCCTACTGCCTCCACAGTACTATGGGCTTCCAGGGAAATTGGACGGAAATTTCTTTTTCTAAGGCAAAGAGTAGGAGTGCAACAAATGGGAAAGGGGAGGAGATTAAATGTAATAACTGCAATCCTAAAAATAAATGCTGTCTGCTCCATTCTTATTAGTGACTGTACTGACAAGGCAGGGCAAGGGCAGAGGGGAGCAGTGAACTGGGTTCAGAAGAGAAGGTTGCAGGAGCTCAAGCAAAAGAAAAACCATGAGCAACTCAGTGCACTCAGATCAGCATCATGGAGGCAAGACACAGGGACTGGATGTTCTCCAGAGCTGAAATGCAGCACAGATAGTAGCCAGGGTCCCCTAACAAACTCGTAAAGACACGAGAACAGCTGTGTAACTGCAAAACAGCAAATGCACCACCACAATTTAAGGGGGAAGATGAAGTGATTTGTGAGCCTAACTCCAGCAGCGTGCAAAGCTTGAAGACAAAGAACCACAAGGAAAATGCAGCTCAGTGTTATCAAAGTGATGTGCTAATGCTAGAGTTCTCTCTGATAAGGTAGTATTTCCAGACAAAGGAATCGGTGTATCTTATCTAAGCTTCAGGAAGGATTTGATGTAGTGCCACATGGGAAATTTAGGTAAGCTGAAAAGATAGAAATTAACACAAAAATTATAAGGTGAAGATGGTAGTGCTGAAAGGGGAAGTAGCAGGCTGGAGAGAGGTTACAAATGGAGTTCCTCCAGGACAGGTTTTGGGACTCATGTTGCCTAATACTTTAATGCTGATAAAATTTGAGGGACTAATACAAAAGAGGATTGGGATAATGCAAAAAAAGAAAAAAAAAAAAGTCCTAGAGACTTTTGAGAGGCCACAGGAATGGGATGAATATCAAGTGCGAAATACAAGGTGAGGAACACGAAGCATTTCTGTTATAAGATGGGAGTCACTGGTATTGGTGATGAAGAGTCTGGCTCTATCATATCAATGACCGAAAGGTGACACTATGACCAGTGAGACACGACCATGAAAAGGCAAATACCACCCTAGGCTGCACCGAAAGCACCACACAGGGACAGAAAAGCCTTAGTGCAATCATAGACAGCTCTGCTGAGACTTCTCAGGAATACTGGGTGCAGTCCCTCACACCTGTATTTCCAAAGGCTGACCTGAGCTCAGAGGGGCTCTGAATGACAATGAAGCCACTTGAAGAAGAGGATGCACGCTTAAGAGCTCAGCTTGCTTAACACAGCAACACGGAGTTAGCAAAAATTCCACCTTCAGATGTGTAGGCTAATCTGGAGGACTGGGGAAGAAGCGGGTACTGGCACAGTGAAGAGTGATTTAAGGTCTGAGCTACCACTGGTGTGAAGAGGATAGAACTGGCCACAACAAAAGCTCCAGCACAAAATGTGAAGGGCTCTTCACCATCAGGTGGCAGGAGGCAATGAGCAGCCTTCCAGCTGGCACCACCTCTTCTGTCTCCCCTACTTGCTTTTAAGATGGAGTCTGATTTATTTACAGTGGGATCAGTTACACTGCAGTCTTTGCAAAAGCCTCACTGTGGACTAAGTGTCTTGTAGATCCCCTGCTCTCACATGGAGCTGCATTCCCCGTGGAAGAAGCATGGCTGAGAGCACGGCTCCCCAGCTGGAAGCATGTCTGAAAGCAGAGTAATTTTGCCCCAACGAAGGCGAAGGCCCGTGCAGGTTTACTGGGACCCCCACAGTGCAAGTCCCGTTCCCTTCTGCCCAGGTAGGAGCAGCCCACAGCACTGGTGAGCCCTCCCAGCCAGACCCAGTGTGTTCTGGCTTTGGACTGAATACAGAAAGGCTCTTTAGCCTGGTTAGAGAGACAGCCAAGAGCATGATCTGAAAGCAACCCTGTGAAGGAAAAGGGGATCACCAATCACTGTTCTCCAACACAAGAACAAAGAAAATGAAAAGAGCAGAAGGAGCTTCCAAAACAAGCCAAGTAAGGTAGCTCTTCACCTAGATTGTAACTGCATCACGTAGCAGCAAGTCAGGGGAAACCGTGGGTGCCACAAATAAATCAAAGGAAAGAAAGCTGTGGAGGGCCATAAAATAAACACAAAAGGCCACCTCTAACTCAGGACAGGTCTGGGGTCACAGTTTGTCAGATGCTGGGACAGTAACTGGGAAACGTGTTGACAAGCTTCTTGACTTGCACTTATTCTCCCCATGGGCACCTGCCCTTGGCAACTGCTGGATGAATCTAGACAGACTCCCGGCTCGAGCCAATATAGTTGCTCTTATGTTCTTACCGTCTTTCCTGAATGGGAATCCAGAAACACAAGAACAAAGCAATCTGTGAACTTCTGGTTGAGCACAACCTGTCAAGAGAGCCACAGCACACGTTACAAAGGAGACAGCACAAACCCCAAGACAGAGATACAAACAACCCCCACCCAGGGATGTGCTGATGTGCAGGATGAGTGGCATGACAGAACTGTGAAGGTGCAAGTCTGCCTGAGTCACAGGTGACACTGCCAAACCATGGGGCTATACATGGCATGTGTACAGGCTCTGGGTGTGAAGAGTGTCCTGCCTGCCTGGGGGCAGACAAACAGACACTGCAGTGCCACAGGAGCATACACCTCACACTGCACCCATAGCGGAGTGGACAGCAACATCCTGACAGCATCCACATTGTCCTGACAGCACACACCAGGCTCACATTGCGAGAAGCCACAGCAGGCAGGGGCCTTGGACAGGGGAGAGAGGCTGCAGGTGAGCAATGGGCTGTGTCTTACCAGATACTGGGTTCCGGTTTCAGCGTTGTGGAAGTGCCGACAGCTCTGGGGAAAGCGGCTCAACAGCACTTTGATGAGGCTCTGGTACCAGGAGACTGTCATGGTGAGGAAGCATCCCTGTGGGCAGGGAAAAGAGCTGATTTCAGTCTCCCTCTAGCCATGGCACCAGCAGCCATAATGCTACAGCACCCTTCAGACCCCAGATCAGATGCATCCATCGCAGCCCACTGAGGAACACTGCCCCAGGGCTATCTACTCTCCACAGACAGGTCCATGCAGCCTCCCCCTTCCCCTGCCAGCTACTAGCTCTATCTTCCCACCAAGCAGGAAGAGATGTGCCCTGCAGGCCCTTCACCCTGCGCCCCACTCCCTGCCCAGAGCAGAACAGCAGCTGCTGTGCACCATGGCTCCATCCCTGCTGCTCACCAGCTGCGGGTCGACATCAGCAATCGATTTCCCGTGCACGGCGTCGAGCAGCTCCTCCAGCTCCACCAGTGAGAGCTTGCCCAGCTTCAGC